GGGGGGGGGGGGGGGGGGAGGGGGAGGCAGAAGAGTAGCGAAGAAAAATATATACATAATTCTTCAAATCCATTTAAAGGCACAACACACTGATTCAAGATATAACATTAATGAACATTGAGCTTCCACACTTACAGCATGTTAGCTAGAATTAAAAAGCTTTATTTGCTTGTATGCTTTTCCTTTTAATATGCACAAATATTTATAAAGAGCACCAAAATCATTCCATATTGGAAAGAGAATCTGAACTTGTTGGCAGGGTCACAAACCTGCTCTCTACGTGATGTAAAAGCAGGGTAATAGGATTTACAAATTAACTTATTGGTGTCATAAAAAATATTAATATTTGCATTTCCTTCCTGTCCAAATAAAGTCATAAAACTCTGTTTGTGTCAACCTAGGAGATGCGTTACTACAGAATACCCATAATCCGAATGACTGCAGCGTGCCTGTGTATAAAAATAATTGCTTTGAATTTTCAGGATCTGAGCTTGGAGAGGAGGCTTGTCATGTTCAAACTACTAATTTGCTGTCGCCACTTTATTGAAAATAGCCTGTAAGTTGTTATTAAATGTATCGACTGAACGACAGAGAGAGTAGTAAAACTGCCCCTTAAGATGGCTTTTAATAGGAAGCCCGAGAAACAAATTTTGCAGCAGCATCGATTTGAAGAGTTCAATCAAAACTCCATTTCAAAACTAATTAGTCTGAGATCCACGACACATTGACACGTTCTTGCAGAATCAGAATGGTTACAAAGGGAAAGCTGAACTAACACACTGTCAGGACCTCCAGCCAAAGGACTGAACTGTCTAGAAACTATGAGGCCATTATTACAGCACCGTCTAAATCAGGACCAGTTCAGAGATTTTACAAAACCTACTGAGATGACTCCCAGCACTTCTACAGTGTGTTGTTTTCCCTCTCTTCCATTGTTACCATCAATGAAGCTAGGGTGAAAGAGAGGTATATGGAAAGTAGTTTAGAGGCAGGATAGTGAATCACATTGCCAGAAATACACTCTTAACTCGCATTTGTGGGTCTAAGTGACAAAGGCACTACAGGAATAACCAAAGGCAGCATCTTGGAGCTGAATGGGACAAATGCTGCTTCTCCTGGGGAAGAGTGATATTTGTCTTTCATAACCCTTCATACAACTGCACCCCACCATTAAAAGCACAGCATTGTGGCACTTTCCTTCAGGAAGCATTCATTTATTATACAATCCTCCCTGAATAAAGTCCGTTGTACACCGTGACTGTCTGCCAAAGAGAATTTTAATAATCAGTGTAGTCAAACTAATCCAGAAGCTTTTCACACATCTCACTCTCACCCTATGCATGTTTCCAGAACAATTCTACATTTCAAAGAACTGCTACAGCTAAAAATCACAAGATCTGCAAAGATTCATAAAAATGACTTGTAAAGTTAGGACATTGTTACTAAATCTATCTAGTGCTCTGTATTATTTAACAGGGTAAAACAGATTAGTTTCTCTTTGCCATTGATAGAAACACTCTTTAGTTTGTAGCGACGTTATCAAGAAAGAGGTTCATACGTTAAAAAAAAAAAAAAAGTATACTTCTTTTTAACTATAAAGAAGTCCACCATTGTAACTATCCTTTACAAAAAAAGAAAGTTGTTTTTACATGGTTTCTGCAGGGCTGGAGAGCTAATTATCTAACCAGGGGGACTGTCCAGGACAGTGTTTGATTTAAAAGGCTTGAGGCTTTAGGTGCTCAATTAAGTAGCTATCGGTCTCAGACTGGACTTTAATGGGCTCTTTTCTCTTTAACTCCAGCAATGGGGAGAGATACCCCAGGTCAGGCTAATTAAAGCCAGGGGACTCTTTAATTGTGATGACAGAATTGGTTTCAGTTTCCTCTTTGGGTCCTTAGTCCAGGGAGGTCATTAATATTTCAACATTTGGGCAATGCAATCAATCACAAACATCAAGAGGTTCCTTATATGGATAAGGAAGGTTCTACACTTTCCAGCATTTCACTGAGCCACCTTAATTAACTACTGGGTAGCTCCAACATGCCCATCTCTCCCTCCAGTCACCCCTCCCCCTGCCCAAAAAAAGCCCTGATGTCAAAACTTTGTTCCCTACTGCCTACATTCCTCTCTTGTCATTCTCAGTCCAGTTTCACATATTCCTACTCAAAATTCAAGGCTAATAAAAGCATTACTCAAGGAACCTATTTAAAAATGCAGCAGTTGTTTCCAAAAAGTGTATAGACAAACCAACCTAAAGCGCCATAGTTTCTACATAGGAAAGTACACATTTGTGCCCACAAACACGTATCCAAGCCATGAGTCAGAAATCCACATCCAAAGCTGCAGATTCAGAAGCAATTAGTTTTCCAGTAGATTCCCTCTGTTTAATCTAAATTCTGCAGCGTCTATATTAAATGTAACAAAGAAAGGCAACACAGAAATTATGCCTGAAGCCAAGTCCATTAAAGGTACTTCAGCATAACTAGAGACCAAGCACCTTAAAAGCACCAGAAGCTATTGATACTTAAAAAGGGGACTCTGCATAATGGCAAGTGCTGCATTAGAGAGAAGGGGAAGAGGGAAAAAAAAAAAAAAAAAAAAAAAAAATCAGCCAAATTACGCTTGGTTAATTCAGAGTAACAGATCTGCCCCCAAGTGAATTGGAGGCCTTGAATTAATTCTGTTATGACAAATCAAGATAAACGTTCCCCCTAAATTGCATGCGATTTAATTAATTTTTGAGATCCTGGGTTTTTTTTTTCCTAGCTAATAGTTCACATGCTCCTGTGCTGTCATTGTGCTTGAGTGGGCAGACTTCAAAGTGATATTAAATAACCAACTATTAGATTTACCTAGCACGTCCTATTGGAAAAGTGCCATTTAATTACCTAGCCTGTTCAATTAAAGGGACAGCATTCCCTGCATATAGCAGCTTGCTGTTGATTACCAGGGAAATGAACTCGTTGCCTGGCGGCTCGCACCCGCCCCTCCACTCCCCTCCCCGCCGCCACCGCGCGGCGCAGACTGCGGCTGCGGGCGGCCACGTGAATGGCAATGAGGAGCGCTCGCCCCGGCCCCGGCCCCGGCCCGGCCCCGGGGAGCCGCTCCCTGCCCCTGCTTGTCGGAGCGCGGCGGGGCTGGTGGCAGCTTTCCTCCAACTCGCCTTTCATAACACGGCCCGGTTAACTTGTCTGAACCGATTAGCGCCGGCTGCTCGTGCAGGGGGCCTGCGAGCGCCCCGCTCAGGTGCCTCCTGCGCCGCGGGGCGGGCTGGAGAGCACCCCCCCCACCGAGCCCCAGGCCTGGGGGCGGGGGAAGAGACTTGCAGACGCTGCCCCTTTAAGAGTCTAATTCCCCCCCCCCCCCCCCCC